CCTGATGCAACACCAAATGCACATTTTTCGGGATTTAACTTCATATTAAATTTCCGCAAAATTTTAAAAGTTTCAGACAGATGCGATATATGATCTTTTGAATACTGAGTTTTAACAAGCATGTCATCTATGTATACCTCCATAGTCTTACCTAAGTGTTCTTGGAACATTTTTGTAACTAACCTCTGATACGTTGCGCCTGCATTCTTTAGACCAAAGGGCATTACTTTATAACAGTAAGTCCCCCTGTCTGTTATGAAGGAAGTTTTTTCTTCATCTCCTGGATCCATTTTAATCTGATTATACCCTGAATATGCATCTAAAAAACTTAATAGTTCATGACCTGCAGTTGCATCAATCAATTGATCTATGTGTGGCAGTGGAAAAGAATCTTTAGGGCAAGCTTTATTAAGATCTGTGTAATCTACACAAACCCGCCACTTACCGTTCTTTTTTGGAACTACAACAGTGTTGGCTAACCAGTTATGATACTTTACCTCACGAATAGAGCCAATTTTTAGCAATTTTTGGACTTCTTCTTGAATCACCTGATTCTTGAAAGTTCCTTGCTTTCTTTTCTTTTGCTTGACTGGAGGATATGAAGGATCTTCATTTAGTTTATGAGTCATCACCTCCGGTGGTATCCCTGTCATGTTAGTATGGGACCAAGCAAAACAGTCTGCGTTAGCTTTTAAAAATTCAATTAACTTACGCTTCACCTCCGGGCTAAGATTAGCTCCTATATACACTTTTCTCTCTGGCCAGTGCATAAACAAAACCACAGCCTCCAGCTCTTCTGTCGTCGTTTTGATGTTTTCGTTTTCCTCTGGTTCTTGAATGGAATCAGGCCTTGAATCTACATCTGTTTGTTCTTGTTCAGTTGAGGTTGACGCTATGTTATCCTCAACTGAATTCTGTAATTGCTATTTTTCTTCACCTTTCGTGCTTGAGTCTGCCACGGAGTTGATGTTCCTAGATGTCTGTTGATCTCCCATGATTTGACATATTCCCCATGGCGCTGGAAATTTAATGACTTGATGCAAAGTTGAAGGAACAACGTCCATTTCGTGGATCCATGGTCTCCCAAGAATCATATTGTAAGCCATATCCATGTCTACTACCTGGAACTTTGTGTCTTTGACGACTCCTTCAGCAGATGTGGTGAGCGTTACCTCTCCTTTTTTAACGACGCTGGAATTATCGAACCCAGATAGAGTATGTGCCTTTGGTATTACTTTTTCTTCAGCTTGCATCTCATGTAATACTCTTAATAGAATAATGTTTACGGAACTACCTGGATCAATCAAAACTCATTTTACATTAGTATCTTATACAATTAAAGATATTACCAGTGCATCGTTATGAGGGGTTAACACGCCATCTGCATCTGCATCATTGAATGCAATGTTGTCTTCTTCTAAAACTTGCCGCAGCCGCTTCCCGTGAGTAATTGTTACTTTGGAAATCTTATTTGCTGCAGTATATGACACGCCATTGATATTTTCACCCCCACTTATAATGTTGACAGTTCTTTTGGGTGAAGGTGGCTTTGGAGGCTCCTGCCTGTTCTTCATGTATGCTTGTTTACCTTTCTCACTGAATAACTCAGTGAGATACCCCTGTTTTAGCAAATGATCAACTTCACCTTGCAAAAACCTGCAATCTGCTATTTTATGCCCGTGATCATTATGAAATTCGCACCAATGATCAGGGTTTCGTCTGTTTGGATTCGATCGCATTTCCTTTGGCCACCGTACCTTATCTCCCATGCTTTTTAAAACAGCTACGAGTTTAGAAGTGCTTACATTGAAATTATAACCACCAAACCTTGCCTTCAGACCCCTATCATCATCTCGTGGCTCGCGTGTGTTTCGATCATTCCCAAATCTTGAAGAGCCTAATTCTTTATTCCATGATCTGTGATCGTACCTCTGATTGTCCTGCTTTGATCGTGAGTCTCTCCCCGCAGGTCCCATGTATGGATCGTACCTGTTTTTACCGGATCTTTTTTCATTTTCTGCACGTCTTGAGCTTACTTTTTCTTCTTTTTTATGTCGTAAAATAATATCTTCTTCAATCCTCATCTTTGTACTGTATCTGTTATAGACGTCATTCCACGTCGTTGCTGGAAATTCTCGGAGGCTTTCCTTGAGTCGCCTCGTAGCTTCTGAACTTTTCTCATTCAAGTTGCTTGTGAAGGCTATGGCTGCCCAGTTGTCAGGTACACGTGGCAATGTCATTCTTTCACGTTGAAATCTGTCCACGAATTCTCTTAGCAATTCTGAGTCTCCTTGCTTGATCTTGAAGATATCTTCCATTCTTTTTTCAACTTGAGCTCCCGAGTGTGCTTTGATAAAAAAATCTGCAAACTCATCAAAAGAATTTATAGAATTTTTGGGTAAAAGAGAATACCATGTTAAGGCTCCTTTAGTGAGTGTTTCACCAAATTTTTTGACTAAGACTGATTCAATCTCCTGCTTAGTCAGGTCGTTGCCCTTTACGCCTATTGTAAATGCAGTAACATGGTCTTGTGAGTCTGTTGTTCAATCGTACTTTGGTATATCAGGCGTTTTGAACTTCTTTGGAATTGGGAGAGGAGCAGCACTTGGCTTCCAAGGCTGTTGAGAATACTTATCCATATCTACCCCTTTGATCACGGGCGGCACCCGTGGTATCTGCTCTATGCGGTCACTTTGCTCCTTGAGCTATTTCTGCAATGTTAGTACTAGATTTTGTAAATTAGAATTAACTAAATTACCTGGTTCTCCCTCCTGTGTCTCGCTGGGGGTTCCTCCGTTAACTGAATTAATTAGCCCAGAGCGAGGGTTCTCCAGAGTATTGTTATTTGGAGTAGATGTGGGTGGAGCAACAGGTAGTTGACTGACAAAAGCTTGAAGAGCTTTATTGACCTGTGTGGCGATAAGTTTTTGTAAAGCTTCATCCATAGCCTCCATATTTTCGAATTGAGCTTGTCCATCTGTATGAGACCCCTCAGGAGTGCCTTCACGAGACCGTCGTGGAGAACCTTGTGGAGAAGGAACTAATGCGTTATTATCTTGCAGATCTCCCTGAAGTTGTTGATTTGTTTGATTTTCTTGGTTTCCTTGAGTGTTATCACTGTTGTTTGCCATAGTTGATGTAACAAGGAAAGTTAAGCAAAGAGGAAATAGATTATCAGATTTCCGGTAACGGAACCAATTTGTTTAACCAAAAAATAGAATTTTAGTCAAAGCTAGAATTTAGAAGAACTCGGGTTACTGATAATCAAGGAAATGAATAAAAGGAAATAATTCTGAGTAGCAATATAATAATCAAGAAAAACGAATGTACCAATGTATATTTCAATAGTCTTTCGTGTCCCCACAACTGATCATATATCTCCTTTTTATTGGTACCTTTGAGAATGTACGTTATGCCCAAATCAAAATGAGGCTATTATGAATAATTAAAGACATTGAATGCTACGTTACACAATCATTACATTGAATATATATATTCCTTAACGGACTCAGCATTTAATACCCATTAAATATTGTATTTGCACTCTTTTTTATAACCAGATTCATTCCTTCTGATGCCCGGATATAAATGATTTAAATAGGTACAGGCGCCGTGCTACGTATCTGATGTCACGTGCCTCTTCCTCCTTCTTTGCTCGTGTCTGTTTTACAATTCTTGAATCGTGTCTAATTATGATTCATTGACCATTTGACCAATCCACGTGTCCTGACACGTCACCATATATATAAATACAATTTTTTCCAATACACTACTAAGTATAAATCAGTACTACAGTTGCAACGTGTTATAAGCAAGCTTCTGTTCACTATTGATATACAGTAACAACAACAAATCTAATGCAATCCAATATAGTGAAGTGTGGGAAGTGTAATGTGTACACAGATCTTATCCCTACCTTTACTTTATGAAGGAAGAGAGGTTGTTTCGATAGACCCTCGGCTCAAGAACACAATAAACAACTGTTGACTGTTGATATACACAATCAATAATGGATAAACACCCTTACTTTCTTTTCTTTACTTTGTCTGTACTCTCATTTTGATTAGATACTACGCATATTAATTTAACAAAATCAAATCCCAATGCAAGCAGCGAATCTGCAACATCACCCTTTATAGTTTCTCTCTTTGTCTGATTAATTGACCCTTTTAAAAAATATTACAAATACAAATTTCTCTTTCCTTCTTCAGAGAGATTTGCGGTGGTTGTTAGTAACATCCAAATTGGGAACAGTGTATAATATAATACTCCTTCCATCTCAATAATTTTTTTGATTTTATTTCACAAGAATTATCCATTGTAGTTGGAGAAGGCTTTGATTTTAACATGCAAAAGTTTCTGTAAAGTTAATCAGGTTTTTAAATTATAAAGGTTGTTTCTAAAGATAAATTGATTAGCACACAACGTCAATATGGATAATTAATATATCCTTCAAAAGCAAAATAAATTAGTTGCTCTATCTGTATTGAGACTGGTTATAAATTTACTTCTTGTACACAGGTATATTTATTCTTCTCTTTTTTTCTTCTTAGCCTTGCCAGTTAGTTAATATTGTTAATAGTTGTTATTAGTTAGTGGTGCTATTATTAGAGTTAGTGGACAATTGTTGACAGCTCTCAAGTGAGTGAATCACATGTATAAATAGAGTGTTTGGAAATTTTGTAAAGTGGAATATTCATTTCATTTTCCCAACTATGCTTCACAGATTTCTCAAAGCTTCTCCTCTCTCTTTTCTCTCTTAGCTAGGTTCTGTTCTTCTTCCATTGGAGCACATTTGAGCTCGATTTTATCTCGTTCTTTGTGATTTTATCATGGTATCAGAGCGGAGGTTCTAATCTCTAGCTTAATTTCGTTTTTGGTCCAGAAAAATCAAAGTTCAACGATGTTTCATTCTGAGGTCCGAGGTCAGCCCTAAAACTAAGATCGGGACAGAAATCGGGTGATTGAGAGTCATCTACGCATACACATCGACTAAAATCATGGCAATTGAAGAAAATACATCGGATTCCACTAATCCGCTACTTGATTCAACCAATCCGCTTTACATGCATCCATCCAAAAATGCAGGTTCCATGCTTGTGCTAGTAGCTTTTGATGGATCGGGGTACAGGTTATGGAGGCGAGGAGTACTTAGGGCTCTTTCTGTGAAAAACAAAGTAGGTTTCATAAATGGTAAGTATGGGAAAACAGACTCAAAGGACCCTACTTTTGATCAATGGGAATGGTGCGATAATGTAGTGACTTCATGAATTTTGAATTCTCTCTCAAAGGACTTGGCAGACAGTCTGCAGTATGTAAACGATGCCAAAGAGCTTTGGCAGGAGTTGGAGGACAGATATGATCAAACCAATGGGGCAAGACTATATCAGTTGCAAAAGGAAATCAATGATTTGAGTCAAGGAGCATTCGACATTACAGGATACTATACTAAGATGAAGAAGCTGTGGGAAGAGTTGAATACCTTGAACGCACATGCTCAATGCAAATGCCAGTGTACATGTGGTGCCAAGGCGAGTATGCAGAAGGCTGAGCAAGACAGGAGGTTAATTCAGTTTCTAATGGGATTAAATGAGGTTTACACCGTCGTCAGGGGAAGCATCCTGATGATGAACCCTTTACCTTCCTTAGCACAAGCATTTACGATTCTCATCCAAGAGGAGAAACAAAGGGAGATGAAGCCAAATAATCAATTGATGATTGACCCTAGTGCTTTGAGTGCAAACAGGGCAGGAAACAACAACTTCAGAACCAGTTATGGTCAACAAGGAAATGGATCTGGAGGGAGCTCCTACACAAATTACAACCAGTCAAGTGGCACTGGGAGCAATAGTTTCAGGGGAAATTACCCTACAAACAGACCTCGACCAATTTGTGATTACCGCAAGAAGCCAGGCACACCAAGGATAAGTGCTAGAAACTCCATGGTTATCCACAAGACTCCAAGTTCAATAAGATAAAACAAGTAGCTGCCAATGTGTTTGGGGATTATGGTGATAAGAATGCTGGTATAGGAGATAGGGAAAGGCTACGGACTCAAGAAGAAGGGCGAGTGATGAAAAATCTGACCAAAGAACAATACAATCAACTCATCAGCATCCTAGAAAACTTTCAGACTGGAAGTGCAGAAGACAATCATGAGATGAAGGCAGGAGCAGTAAATTTTGCAGGTATTTTAGCTTGCTCTACTTCTCTTGATTCTAGTGTTCATTCATCTGAATGTTTTAAACCAAGTGCTGACTCTTGGATACTTGATTCCGGGGCCACAAATCACATGACATACAACAAATCTATTCTAACTAATATCAAAACCTTAGTTTATCCTTTTCTAGTTACACTGCCTAATGGATATAAAGTGAAGGTGACACTAGTAGGTGATGTAGTCTTGAGTCCCAAATTCAGCCTCAAAAGAGTCCGTTTTGTACCCAGCTTCAAATTCAACCTACTATCTATCCATTGTTTGACATTTCAGTTTGATTGTTATGTCATCTTTACCAAGTTTTCATGTATTCTTCTGTAGGCCCCTTCACTGAAGAAGCCTCTGGAAATTGGTAAGGCTTCTGATGGCCTATACTATCACATTTCAGAACTCTGCAAGAATATTGCAGTCCTCACTCAAATTCCTACTCAAGTTTCATCTAGCATGCCCGATAAGAATAATGTACACCCCCACTTACATCTTGTTCCCCCTGTTGCATCTAGTTTACCTGTTTCATATCATGCTTGTAATAAGAGGTGTGTTGATTCTTATAAACACTCCAGTGTCAATATTTCACCCTTAAGTAGTAAAGAAAATGCTTATGTGTCAAATGCATCTACTTCTGTCTCTACTTTCACATCCACATCTGATGGAAACATGGTTGAACTTTTGTGGCACAATAGACTAGGACATGTGCCCTTAGCCAAAATGAAGGGAATCAATGAGATACTGCCAAATATACACCTGCACAACCTTTCCTTTGCCCCATATGCCCAATGGCTAGACAAAGCAGATTACCTTTTCCAGAAAGAACCACTCTTACAACTAAAGTTTTTGAAATATTACATGTTGATTTGTGGGGACCATATCACATTGCAACCTATGATAGACACAAGTATTTCATTACCTTTGTAGATGATTACAGTAGATGTACATGGACACATCTATTGAGCTGTAAAAGCAATGCTCTACCAATCATAAAGGCTTTCTTTGCTATGGTGAAAACTCAGTTTAGCACCTCTGTCAAAACTATAAGAACAGATAATGGGACTGAGTTCACCAATCTAGAAGCTACCTCTTTCTTTCAATCTTGGGGAGTTATTCATCAAAGAACTTGTCCATACACACCCAACAAAATGGGATAGTGGAGAGAAAACATAAGTATTTGCTAGAAACAGCAAGAGCATTGTTGTATCAATCAAAACTACCCTTACAGTATTGGGGAGAGTGCATTCTTACCTCCACTTATATAATAAATAGATTACCTTCTTCTTCTCTCAAAGGCAAATATCCTCTTGAGCTACTCTATAAGAAAAAGCCCTCCTATTCACATCTTAAAAGTTTTGGTTGCCTATGTTTAACTACCATACTTAAGACCCATAACGACAAGTTTGAGGCTAGAACTTTGCCTCATGTGTTTGTGGGGTACCCCTTTGGGACAAAGGGCTACAAGGTGTTAAACCTAGTCACAAAAAGGATCCATGTTTCAAGAGATGTAGTCTTCCATGAGGATGTCTTTCCTTTCACTTTGCTTTCCAAATCAAGATAGAGTTTTTCCTTCATTCCCTAAAGTCAATACAGACTTGGCATCTGATTTATTTCCTCCTAGAGAAACAATTTCAAACTCACCAAATTAGCATCACAATACAGTATCACCTGAACCTTCACATAGGCAGTTTTCACCACAGTCCAGCTCCAACAGGACACAGTTCACAGAGTTCAACCACAGTGAACACTTGTCACCTAACAATGATTACCAAGAACCTTCACCTAGCACTTATAGTCCAAGCAATGCAGGCCACCAAGAACACTATTTAGGCCCCACACAAATTAGACCTTCTAGAACACACAAAGTTCTTACATACCTAAAAGACTATAACTACTCTCTCCCTAAGCTACATGACCTATAGCATCAATCTTCTCCACAGACTAATTTCTCCAATGACAGTAACTCTTCTCTTTCTTTTGCCACTTATGTACCCAATGCACAATATCTCTCTCTTAGAAAAAAGCCTTTATTATTATTAAACGTAGCTGTCTTTAAAGTGCAAGCGAAATATCGACTTTCATTCAACTTTAGAAAACTATAGTAAAGTAGCAAAGTTCAGAGGAGCAGCAGGCAAGCAAGAAGTTCATCCATTGAAGTTGAAGTAGTTTCAGTACTTCATCGATTTTAGTTGAAGTAAACGATTGATCTCTATCGTATCAAGCATGAATCGATCTTTTTTATTCAATCTAGATCCCCTTGCAATTGATCTGTGCGATATCGAGTATGCTAACGCGACACGAGGCTTTTCCTTCGCTCATGTCGCTTGCCGGTCACTCTGATTCTTTATTGGTTGCCAGCCGGTCGCTAGTCCGCCTCACTCTTGATTAGTTTGAAGGCTTCTTTAGCGGCGTAAGCAGAACACTGTTGAAAGTTGACGAAGGCTAGACAATGTATAGCACTCTGTCAGCGAAGCCCCCTACTACGAATGAGAATGAACGAACTCGGTCTAGCGCAAAAGGACTCAATCACTCTTTTAGTTTGGAGGATCATTCGTTATTCACTCTCTTGCTATTACCCGCAGGGAGCGCAGCAACCAAGATGCATATTATCATATAGAAAGAGGCGAAGCGTAGCGATTCGTACTACCGGAAAAGTTTCGCTAACCGGCAGGCAATAGAATCAGCCGATAGGCGCAGGCAAGCGTAGCGAATCACATAGATAAGCCCCTACCTGCCAGCGCGCGGATGGATAGGGCGGGCGAACCAATTGGTAAGGAATATTTCACATGAATGTGAACCTAGTTCATTTGAAGAGGCAGTTGTAAGTCCTGCATGGCAGTCAGCCATGAATCAAAAATTTGAGGCATTGAATGCTAACAATACATGGAGTCTTGTACCACTGCCAGCTAGTAAGAGTGCAATAGGGTGTAAGTGGGTATATAAAATAAAATAAAGTACTGATGGTAGTGTTGAGAGGTTTAAGGCCCGATTAATGGTAAAGGGATACACACAGATGGCAAGGATAGATTATACAGAAATATTCTCACCTGTTGTGAAGATGACAACTGTGAGGGCACTAATTGGAACTACTGTAAAGAAGGGTTGGTAGATGTTTCAATTAGATGTAAACAATGTCTTTCTTCCTGGAGATCTACATGAGGAAGTCTACATGGAGGTGCCTCAGGGCCTGGTAGTAGACAAGCCAGGTTTAGTATGCAAGTTGAATAAGTCTCTATATGGACTCAAGCAAGCAAGTAGGCAATTGTATGAGAAATTGACTGCAGCTTTATGTTCTAAAGGATGCACATGCTCAGTGTTGGATTACTCATTATTTCACAAAAAGAAAGGATCTTTAGTAGTGTTTGTGGTTGTATATGTAGATGATGTTATTGTAATAAGGACTCATCAGGAAGAGATTGATTCCTTAAAGAGTTTCCTGCATGAAACTTTTAAGATAAAAGATCTAGGAAGGTTGTACTACTTCTTAGAAATGGAAGTACTTTACAAGGAAGATGGAGTGCTGATATTCCAAAGAAAGTTCATTATGGATCTGCTGAAAGAGTTTGAGTGTACTCAATATTCCAGCCTGTCATCACCCCTTGATCCCTCCACAAAGCTGAAAGCAGATGAGAGTCCATTGTTGATTGACCCTTCCAACTACAGAAAACTGGTAAGGAAGCTGAACTTCTTGACAAATACAAGGCTTGATATATCCTACAGGGCCCAGCATCTTAGCCAGTACATGTAGTCACCTAGAGAAGCTCATTTGAAAGCTGCATACCATGTTCTGAGATACTTGAAGGGTGATCCGAGCCTGGGCATATTCCTTTCCAGTGGCAAGGACTATGGAATAAGAGCTTTTTGTGACTCGGATTGGGCAGCATGCCTTGAGTCTAGAAAGTCAGTCAGTGGCTACATTGTGCTGCTTGGAAACAGTCCTATTAGCTGGAAATCACAGAAGCAGTCCACATATCCTTATCTCCAGCTGAAGCAGAGTATAGAGCAGCTAGACAGGTTGTGGGTGAGCTAGTTTGGTTGGCTACACTTCTTGAAGAGTTGACTGTACCCACGAATCTTCCCATTCCAGTATTTTGTGAAAGTCAAGCTCTATTGCACATAGCCAGAAATCCAGTATTTCATGAACGCACAAAACACATAGAAGTTGACTGCCACTTTGTTAGAAACAAGCTGCAAGAGGGACTAATTTCTTTACATCATGTATCTACCAACGACCAGCTCGCAGACATCTTCACAAAGTCTTTAACTGGATGCAAACATTCAGACCTACTTAGCAAGTTGGCAGTGCATTCCTCCCTTCCAACTTGAGGGGGGGTATTGAGACTGGTTATATATTCACTTCTTGTACACATGTGTATTTATTCTTCTCTTCTTTTCTTCTTAGCCTTGCCAGTTAGTTAATATTGTTAATAGTTGTTATTAGTTAGTGGTGTTGTTATTAGAGTTAGTGGACAACTGTTGCCAGCTGTCAAGTGAGTGAATCACATGTTTAGAGTGTTTGGACAAAAAGTGGAAGCTTATTGTAAAGAAAAGGGGCTTGAACTCTCAGCTGATTCAACTCAAGCTTTTAGCTCTTCTTCCGACTCTACTCTTGCTGACGCAACTCAGTGTCTTAAAGAAGCTTCTTTAACGGCAAGGGTCGGGATCAACTACTCTGCCATTCCTATTTTGTAAAGTGGAATATTCATTTCATTTTCCCAACTATGCTTCACAGATTTCTCGAAGCTTCTCCTATCGCTTTTCTCTCTTAGCTGGGGTTGTGTTCTTCTTCCATTGGAGCACATCTGAGCTCGATTTTATCTCGTTCATTTGTGATTTTGTCAATCTAAATTAAGACACAAGGGGCATTTAGCTCGATCGAAAGAGAAAACAAAAAACCATCTTTGAAAAAATTAAGATAAAATGAGAGCTTAGAGTGACATCTTTTTGGTTGTCTTTGAGAAAGAACTGTCGGGCATGACAATCAGAGTCCAGAAGTTAAGGATAGAGTTTAGTCAGGACAACCAGAGTCCAGCTTCTCCGTTTAAAGTTTTGGTAAACATAAAACTGTATTATGTTTTTGGGAACTCAATCTTTTGTTTTTATTATATTCCTTTATGTTTTCCTCTCGTCTATGATATCAATGCAACTGACTCCAACACTATATTGCACTCCTCAGCCTAAATTATGCCAATGAGAATGGCGACGCGTCAAGATTTTTTGCTCTCAAAAATGATGAACCCTTACATTCAGAAAAGAAAAGAAAACGAGACATACCAAAGCAAAAGTGAAAGGAACGTAATTAAATGCATACATATTGGTTTTTTCTGATTAAAGAAGGTTAACCTTCAAAAATGACAGCTAAATGCAAGCATGTACATATGTACATATGATTTTTTCTGCAAGTGCCGGCACAGTTCACAACCGAGCACTGTTTTATAAGCAGACCTAAAGAGAAAAAGTAGATAAAATCAGGACTTAGAATAGAAGTAGAGTCCATTTGGACTGTAACTATTGCAAATTTCATAATATTAGCTGAGACCGGATTATCCCACAAGGTTGAGGCGGAGCAAGAATTTAAAACTTACGAATCCACTATTTTAGTCAATTTAAGTTATTAGGTTCTAAATTAATAATTTCTACACATACAATGAATTTCTTAAGACAATTACAGGATTTGGACTAAAGATACTGAATTGTGCCGAACCTGTAAATAAAACACGCTCTGCCCCTGCACCTATAGTTCATTTTTTTTTGGGTCCAAAAATAGTCTAAATCTTTTATCCAAGTTCAGAACATGAGAAGGAAACATTCTGCAGATTAAAAATACTCAGTCAAATATTTCTAGCTTCCTGGAGAAATAGCTACAAAGTTTCATCAAATCAAACACAATAGAGGATAGGGGGGACATGTAAACACTTCCATGTGAT